CATTTGAGCAGTATCCAGGCCACAGTGACATGTGCAACAGAGCCAACCTCCTGTTCAGTATTATGTTGATTCAGAGTCTGTTTAGCCTGTTAGCCTTTGGAGAGGAAGAGAAGTGCTAAGGTAATATAAAAGTCTACAATTTGTACTGCTGGATGTGAAGTGGATTTTTTTTCTCTTGGCAAATCCCTTTGTTTAAAGTCTTGTTCTATTCTGACATGGAATTAAAAGAACAATTTTTGAAATTGCCAATGAAATGAAATTTAAAAAAGCCCATGTGTTGAGATCAATTGAAATGGTTTCACTTTTATCCAAGCAAAATTTTTATTGTTTAATGGGAGGAGGGGAATTGAGCCTTTTTTTTAATGCAGAAAATCAAAATTCTGTTTCCACCCTTTTAAAAAGCCACCCCTTTTTTCTCAATTTTTTTTCTTAGAAATTTTCTTTGTGGAATTCTTGGTTTTTTTTTTTAAAGTGTTCTGCTTCCAACGAGTCCACGCTTCCAGACACTCATTCCACTGGAAAATGTCTGACCCCCTCTATCAATGCGCTTTACTTGCCTATTTTGAAGTTTCAGTTCTATGTTCGGATATTCCTGGGGTGAGTGGTCGAGGAGAAGGCGGGGGGTCTCTGCACCCTTGTTAGTAAAAGTCAGGCTTCCATACTATCGGGGCTGTGAGAAGGGGGTTGGTTTTCTCACATTCATTTCTCGTCTAGCTAAGAGGCTAGATGCTATGCGGAAGCACATGTGTTGCCTGCTGCTCACTGAATTGCTTGTTGGTGGAAGTTGCCGGGTTGATGGCTCTCACATCTGCTGTTCATCCAAAGAACGATCTGTGCCCTTCACAGAATCGTAGGACTAGAAGGGATTTCAAGAGGACTCCTAGTCCAGCCCCTTGGGCTTATGGCAGGACCAAGCGTTGTTAGCATGGAAGGGCCAGAATGAAGCTGCTGCTTGTACGCTCTTTAAGCTGGCAACCCTGAACCAGGGATTGCCAGATCAGTGATTTTGCTGGGCTAGGGAAGGGAGGGAGCGGTATGAGGGTCGGGGGAGGGTGGGACGTTTTACCTGGTGCTCCACGTTCCCCCCCCACTGCTCCAAGGCACCGCTACCCATCCCTATGGGAGCAGCAGGGAAAAGCCTGCGGCAGAGCGCGTCTGTGCTGCCAGGGTCTGTACCACAGGTGTTCCCAAATGAGGGACACCTGGAGTAGGGCAATTCTAGTGCAGAGCTGGGTTGGGAAACCTAAGGCCCCGGGGGCCAGATGCAGCCCCCTGCTTGCCTGGATCTGGCTCTAGAAGCGATGGGCTCCCCCAGCATTGGGGAGCCTGTGCTGGTGCTCCAGTCCCACCCCCACGTCCCACTGTGCGTCTGGAGCACACAATCTACTAGTCTTGGTCTTCCTAGGCTCTGGTGTGGGAGGGGAATGCGGGGAGTGTTTCTCCTTCTCCGTCAGGGCCCACGTCAGGGAGGGTTTGGGGATTTTCTTTTTTGTTCTCATTTGTGTGCGGCCCTTGACTCTATTTATTTATTTATTGGTGAGTCCGTGGCCCCCGACCCCAAAAAGGGGTAGAGCCTTGAAGCTTTATTCTTAGTTGACTGCTGCGCTAGGCACTGTACACACACAGACCAAAAAGACAGTCCCTGCTCCAAAGAGCTCACAGTCCAAGTAACATTGCTTCCCTGTGACTGTGGGGCTGTTTCTGAGAAATCTGGTACTGTGGCCCCTTGCCTGCCAATAGGGGGCTTGCTTTTTTAAAGAACCCCTATTTCATCATTTCTTAACTTACCTGGACTCATCTATGTCCTAACCCATGTTGGGTTCCTTTCTAAGACCCATTTGTGTTTGGTCAACCTCTTACTGTTTAGTCTGCAGAAGAGAAGAGTGAGGGGGGGATTTGTTAGCAGCCTGCAACTCCTTGAAGGAGGGTTCCAAAGAGGAAGGACAGAGGCTGTTCTCAGTGGTGGCAGATGGCGGAACAAGGAGCAATGGGCTCAAGTTACAGTGGGGGAGGTCTAGATTGGACATTAGGGAAAAGGATTTCCCTAGGAGGGTGGGGAAGCACTGGGATGGGTTCCCTAGGGAGGGGGCGGAATCTCCATCCTGAGAGGTTTTTAAGTCCTGGCTTGACAACGCCCTGGCTGGGATGATTTAGTTGGGATTGGTCCTGCCTTGGGCAGGGGGCTGGACTTGATGCTGAGGCCTTTTCCAGCCCTGGGAGTCTCTTGACTGTGGTGGTCTGTGTTACACATGATGTTAATATTGGCCCTTCTGGCGCTTGCAACCCATGTAGTGAGACCAACTGGTCTGGAAATCTGATTGGTGGCTCCCACATGGCAGTTCTGGCTTTACTGCTAATGTCCCCAACCAGGCTCCCTGTTGCCGCCTCCTGTAAATACACAATTTGAACAAAGCCGCCTTTTTCCGCAATATCCCCCCTTAACGCTCCAACCCTAGGACCGGAGACGTGGATTTAATGACCAGGCCTTCCCTAAATGCATGGAACCCGGAACGCCGGGGGGCTTTCAAACGGCAGGGATGGGATGCATGGTCTACACTGCCTAGTCCAAAAGCAAGGTATTTTGTTTTCCATGTCGGCTGTGAATGATTTAAAACCTCGCAGGGCAACATAGAAACCAGGCTAGCGACTGGGAGGAGCGTGGAAGTTTTTGTATTCTCAGATGAATTCCCTGGGCTCTGCCTTGCTCTTAATACCAAGATTTTTACCTTATAATGTTGCATTCTATAGAATGACCAGCACTGAGATGCCGTGTTCCACCCACTTGGTGGAAAAGATCCCTTTTTAAAGCAGGCTCCTTTCTTGTGAGTGTCTCCTACCTCCCATCTCTGTGCCATGCTCTTCTAGTGTTGGCACTTTCACAACAGGTAAACCAATGGAAGAGTGCAGCGTCTCCTTGGAAGGGCTCTAAACACACAAGTCTTTGATTATTTGTCCGCTTCCTCCTGGCTAGGAATTTTAAGCTTTAAGCTGTTTAGCAAATTCTTCTAGTGCAATGAAGGCTTATTTTGTGAGTATCAAAATTGACCCCCTATGACCCCTTCAGTATATCTGCTACTTGCCTCCGCTTTCATAGTTTGGAAGAACAAGCCTGGCTCCTGTTCAGTGGATAATCTCCCTTTGGGCTTACCCAACTCTTTTCAGCCTGTGATTTCGGTCATTTTCATGACCAGATCTGGGGCGAAATTCCAACTTGGGGTCCACAGATGTGACCACCTACGCCTGTCTGGCAGGATTGCCAATACTTACCTTAATCTAAATCCTGCAGTGGTGTCCGGCTTCTCTGGAAGGGGAAATGGAGTTTGCTCTTCTATAGAATTCTTCCCTTCCCTTCCTCCAAGTGGCTGGGGCAGGCAGAAGTCTATGGAGAAGGGTGTCTGGTTGTCTCAAGGGAATGGAGCCCTTTGCCTGCAAGTCACCCACTCAGCCAGCCTAGCAGTGCCCTGGTGACATCATGGCCTGAGAGACGTGGTCTGGTCTTCAGTAGGTGAACATCTATCGTGGAATAACCACGAACGGCCGCTAACGCTCACCCTGTGTTGGCAGCTTCCACTGAGAAGCCTAGAACCTGGCTGGGCTGTGGAGCACAAACTCCCCCTCATCCCAGAGGTGGTTCTGCCAAGTCAGACTCAAAGCACCTTGGTGGGGCAGCCAGGGAGAACCTTCCTCTGCTCTCTGTGTGGGCTCCATGGTGAATTTCTCTCCCCTGGTACCACCAGTCCAGCACCCTCCACCCTGGTTGCCATCCTCACTCGCGGGGGTGGGTTTCTTGTTCTGGCAGGCTCATACCCACCCTTTCCTGGAATCAAATACGCCAGCACCCCTCACCTGCACACAGGGCTCAAATCACAACACACGAGTCTTTGTGCGGTACCGAGTGTAACACCAGCAGCCCCTGGTCATCTGCAGGTGGAATCGAACTTGGGACCTCTGGAGCTTAGTGCACGAGCCTCTATTGCATGAGCTCAAAGTCTAATGCTGTTGATAATGTTATTAATATTATTCTCCCTGTAAGTGGTCTCTGTTCCACTAGATGGGACCGTACTGCACCTGAAAGGGGTGTAGTTACACAAGTACAATGGGATCCTAGTCTGTTACCTGGGTGCTACAGTAATAGAAGTAAAATGTAATAGTATCAAGAGACCTGTCTGTGCAGGAGACTTGGCTAGAGAGATACCAGGATTATTTTAAGCCACCTAAAGGATCTGGGTGTCCAGTTTCCATTAATACGAACAGGAATCTGATATCTAAATCTCCTGGGCAGCTTTGATTGTATCCAGGAAAACCAAGAGGGTTTCTCTTCAGTGCCACTATACTTGTTCTGAGCTATCAGATGGAATTCTGTGGCAGGCGTACAATTACTCTAAATCTTAGAGCAAGGCTACTCAACACGCGGCCTATGAGCCACATGCAGCCTGCAGCACATTTGTTTGCGGCCGGCGGGTGGGAGCTAAAACAAAAAAGCAGTCAATGGAATGGTCTTCTGTTGCTGTGTGTGTTAGTAGTTAAATTCCTGGACTGTCACTGCTCATTAAAAGTGCTGTCATATGGGTGGAAATTGGGTAAATGTTGCATTGTATTAATATCAGCAGAACTGACTTTAGTGGGGCCTGTGTGTTGTGTAGTCTTGCCTTAATCTTTGTATTCATGCCTATCTGTGAGACAAGCTATTTGCATATATATTTGCATGTAAATGCAACCACACTTAAATTGCGGCTATTGGCATGTGCTGTGAGTATCATTGTTGGCCCCGGGTTTCCAAAGTAGCCCTGGCTTAGAGGGTGGTTTTGGGGGAGGAAGGGGAAATGCCTCTAAAGAGGTTAATGTTGGTCATTGAATTCTTTAGGGCTTTACTGTGTGCTGTGCCCCTGAAACTTTGCATCAGGCCCAAAAACTAAATCAAAGCTGGGCACACCGGTGCAGGGCAGAGCGCTGCCTCAGACTTGGCGTTAAAATGTGTCTTTATTGTCCACTCCATCTAGGTCCCCCAGTGGCTGCCGCTGTCAGATCCCACTTCAACGACTGTCCCGACTCCCACAGCCAGTTCTGCTTCCACGGGACCTGCAGGTTTCTCGTGCAAGAGGAGAAGCCGGCATGCGTGTAAGTCTCTCTTCCCATGGTGAAGGGCTTTGCTTGTGCGAACCCGGGTGAAATGGGAAAGAAATCCGCAGGACTGCCACAACCTGCCATTGCATTTCCCTTGGGATGAGACCAGGCACTAAAGCCATGTTGCAGTATCTCTGGAGTCCCATAGCAACGAAGGAAATGAGACAGGCTGGAATTCTCACAGACTGGAACCCACTTCCCATTGTCCTTCATGGCACAAAGGCGGGGGGAGAAGTTAAACCTGAGGACCTAATGTTAGGCTCCTCAATCCACAGGACTCGACAGTCTATTGAATCTACTCGCCCGTGGCAAGTAGATTTCAGCCCGGCGCCCCGTTTACCAGCGGCGTGCGCAATGTAGCTCTTGCACATGCACAGTGCAGGGCTGACAAGTGGCTTTCGCTGCGGTTCGTCAAGCCCTGTTAATTCATATGTAGGTGTCTAAGGATATGTCTACACTGCAGTTTAAAAACCCATGGCTGGCCCAAGCCAGCTGACTCAAGCTCCCAGGAGATTGTGGGGTAGAAATTCCTGAGCTCCTTACATCTCACAGGTCCCTGGGGGGATTTTTGGAGCCTGAATTCTAGCCCAAGCCCAGATGCTTACCCTGCAGTATAATCACCCTGCAGGGCTTTAGCCTTCTGAAAATCCAGCCTAGACAGAGAGCTTTTGGAGGTCTAAAACTCTGCCCCTGGGGCTGCAAGGAGCTACTGGCTTAGAGCATGTTCGGGGCCTTACCTTGCAGCCCTTGATTCTAACTTCACTGGAAGCATTGTCTAAGTAAGAACTGCAGGATCTGCCCTTTAATTTGATGTGTTAAGTACTGCTAGTCTTCTCTGTCCTGCTCTCTGGCTGGCAGACTGAAGTGCCTAACTCCCTTTGGGTTTCCCATTGGTTCTGACTGCCAACTGCCTCTGAGAATCTATCTGACTGGATCATTATTTCTTGGGTGCACGTGCACTTTGGTGCTCTCTTCTTCAATTCTTCTCTCTCCTCTCTCTGCAGCTGCCATTCTGGGTTCGTCGGGACGCGGTGCGAACACGCAGACCTCCTTGCGGTGGTAGCTGCCAATCAGAAGAAACAAACAATCACTGCCTTAGTGGTGGTTTCCGTGGTGGCATCAGTCGTCCTTATTGTGGCCTGTGTGCTAATACAGTAAGTCTGCATTACGTGCTGTTGTGCTCCGGCTTACTACTTGATTGAGTCTCTGAGTTCTTGTTGACTTGCATAGCAGCACATCAAGTATCCACCTGTCCTGCCATGCAGCATAGAACCACCGAAATGTAGGCTTGGTAGGTCATCTAATCCAGTCACCTGCATTGAGGCAGGGCTAAGCATTATCTAGACCAGGGGTCTCCAAACTTTTCAGCCCGAGGGCCGCATTAACTATCAAACAGCAGTTGGGGGGCCGACTACACACTTGAGGTCCAAATAAAAAACAATCAAAACATGGATGTTGTTTTTAATTATTTATTTAATATTATTTTATTCAGTTATTATTTAATAACACATTGATACACTACACATGAACACCTGTATTAGTGTGAATGGTGAAATTGTTTCCTGGATGCCAAAATAGCAGACATTTCTGGCTTTGCGAATCCGTTTCTCCCGGAAGGAGGGGGGGGGCTTTTCCCCCTGCTCTCCCCTTCCTCTGCACGCTGTCCTCCCCTCCTGCTTGCCACCGCTCACTCCTTTTCCCCCCCCCCTGGGCGGAAGGGGTCACCTTTTTAAAGTTCCCGCCGGGGTTCACGTTCCCCCGCACGTCGCCGGGCGGGCGTTACCACCACCGCCCATCCTGCCCCCTGATTGGCCGGCTGCCCTGTCAGTCTGGGTGGGGGAACGCCGCCCGTGCTAACCCCCGCCCCCTGCGCCGTTTGCCGCTGCGCGGCTGCTTGTCAGCAGAGCGGCCCGCTTCTCCTGCCCCGGCGCGGCGTGAGTACACGCCGCACACCCCTGACAGGCCCCCCCCCCCCGTGGCAAGAAGGGCCCGTTCGGCGGCGCCCCAGGGACGGTCTCCACGGGCCGGATGAGAGGGCCTCGCGGGCCGCATCCGGCCCGCGGGCCGTAGTTTGGAGACCCCTGATCTAGACCATCCCTGTTAGCCTGTTTTTAACCTCCAGTGACCTATTCCACAGCCTCCCTATGTCATTTGCTCCAGCGCTTAACTACCCTGACAAGAAATTTCTCCTAATGTCTAACCTAAATCTCCCTTGCTGCAATTTTAAGCCCAGCGCTTCTTGTCCTCTCCTCAGTGATTAAAGAGAACATTTTTTCACTCTTCTCATTATAACACCCTTTGACATACCTGAAGACTTATCCTTCCTTCAGTCTTCTCCAAACTAAACAAACTCAACTTCTTTCAGTCTTTCCTCATAGCTCATGCTTTCTAGACCTGCCATCATTTTTGTTACTTCCTCCAGTTTGCCCACATCTTTCTCAAAGGCTATGTCTACACTGTAAGGGTTTTGCACAAAAATGTGCGGAGCATCCACACTTAAAGCATGCTTTTAGCGAGTAAAACAAGAGTAAAATGGCAGAACAGAGGCTTTTGGTGGTGTAGATATGCCGCGTAGAAGAAAGTATAACTCCTTTTCGCGCTACAGCTGTTGCACAAAAAGGCATATGTGGACGCTTCACAGGGGTTTCTTGAGCAAATAGAGCCTATCCGAAAAAGCACAGGTGCTGTGATGAGAATTCTGTGAATGGTCATCAGAGCTTTCTTGTGCAAGAGGTGTGGACGCGCTTTTGCGCAAGAAGTTTTTTTGCTCAAGATCTCTTCCACAGAAGACTTCTTGCGCAAAAACCCTGTAGTGTAGACGTAGCCAAAGTGTGGTCTCCAGAACTGGCCACAATTCTCCAGCTGAGTCCTAATCATCATGGAGTCGAGCAGAAGAATTACCACTTGTTTCTTTTTT